GCTAGCAATACCAGTACCTGGCACAGGCACAGGGGCATGTAGATTCAGGAAAAGTTACAAAAACACAAGCTTACAGCAAATGTATTAATAGCCACATAATGAGCTCCTCATATTTTATGACTTGAATAGCATCATATAAACAATGAGAAAATACTTACAAGAAAAATTTCCATTCCAGTTTAATTTTTCTGGGGGATGCTAAGAATGATATTTGAGTAAATTTGGAACTCGCATACCTTAAAGGTGGACTGACTTTAAAATATTGTAAGAAATATCATTTCCCACAGTTTAGCTCTGTTTGAGGGCAGCACTGCAAGGAAGATCAGTGAAGTGTTAATGCAATTTTACGTTTTTAATTTCCTTGGTTTTGAAATCAGCCAAAGAAACAATGTAATTGCTGTGCATGCTATCATTTGAATACTTCCAGCTGGGCTTTTTGAATTCACACTTTTCTGAAATGGACAGGGTGGGAAAGAGGTGATTCTCCTCCATATTTGTTCCTGTAGACTAGTAAACTTGTACCAGTCCTATTTTACTGTAGATTTTACTTAGTCTTTTTGCAGGCTTACTGCTTCTTTGTCATGTAAATAGGAAAAAGAAATTTTTTATTAAAAATATAGAATTGACAGAATATTACAAACTCCAAAATCACTCTTCAGTTCTTTTGAGATAGAATATTTTTCCTTTTTTTTTTTTTTGTCTTCTGACATTTCTTCGGAGGATGTATTATCAGGAAACTATAGGCTTCCTCACACAAATCTAACTATAGCCTATAGGCAGTTGTCCTAATGTCTGCTGTCAAACCATACATAGAAAATACATTTACTAAAAATATGTTCTGTTGAGATCTAAGCAAATACATTTGCCATGTCAGACCTTTCAGATGCTAATCTCTTCCACACAAACCAAGTACAGGTATTTATTCACTGGCAAGTCTTTCCTTGAGAAAAATATGCTTCTTCTCATTTTCCAGTTGAAATGAGCTTGCTTACTCCTTTGACTCTAAAAAATGTACTTCTTCCTTCTTCTAAGTATTAATGCAGGAAAAAGCGTAACTTTTACTTACATGTTAGCAATTTTCCTTAACTGAGCAATTTTCCTTAATTGCTCACACGTAGTCCAAAGTCAGACGTAGAAAATAATAGTTGAAGAGATTTTAGAAAACAAAGGTAGAATAAGGCTTTTAGTGGAAATACATTTGCAACCTTATAGGCACCAGGTGAAAGCAACATCCTCATTTTCAGATAAGAGTTTAAATGAAATGCTACAGATTCTACAGGTAAAATCCAGACTCTAAGGAGGAAATCTATGGGTTAAATTGCTATTGTAGTTATTCTTTCACCAAAGTTCTGTCTGATATATGTATTTTACTAAGTTGTCTAAATCCTGCTGCAATATTGATTTCTCCCTTTAAAAACTCTCACCCATTCAGTAAGCTCCAAGGACCTATGTCCCAGCTCAGTTCTTCTAAAATGCAGCTGGGATATGTTATTTCTGTCAGCAATCATACAGTTACTAACTGGTATTAAAGATATAAAATGCTTTTAGGAACAGAAAAGGAAATGTTCACCACAGAGAAATACACAGTAATTCTAGTAACCCTTAGATAACAGTTCTGCCCAAAGAAAGATTTTTTTTTCCTATTCTGTTGCTCCTTGAAAACAGCTGGCATTCCATTTACTGAACACTTAACAATAGCTACCCTGAATTTATTCAAAAGACAGTACTGTCATATAATCCCAAGCCTGCAGAACTATTGCAACTAATGAAAAGACACAAGCAGATATGTAGAAAATGTAAATTAAGCAGGCAGCATGGTCTGAAGGTTCTCTTTTCAGAATGGGAGTCTGCAAGATAGGTTCTATATCAAGGCTTTCAAGTTACCTTAAAAATCATTACTTTTATTATTAAGTTTAATTGAAGGTTTAAGAGATATCAAAGAACATATTTACTAAGGGTCCAGTCTGGAAAACAGCTACTTATGCAACTGAAGATTGTTGTCAAATATGCCGTTTGAAAATGTATCCATAAATCTAATATTTTCTGCTCTGCTCTCTGATAAATAAATATCTTTAATTGCCCCTATTATCTTCATCCTAATTTCAGACAAACAAGTCTTCTGCTTGAAGAAAAACTCTTCTTATTATAGTGCAGTATCACTGCTTCTTAGGCTAGCTTAGTCAGTTACTTTCTTTTATTATAATGCCAAATGTTATTTAGATTTCAGTCATTTAGTAATGCTACACTGAACACATCAAGGATTCGGAAAAATTCCATACCTTCTAGTGCCTCTTCATTTTCATAATAATCACATATTGATATCCTTTTTTCCCCCAAATTACACACACTGTTATTTAAAAAATATCTTAGTATCTTAACACAGTTAAAGAGATTATGATGCAATGAACAGCAGTCTTCAGAAACATTTTTTCATGTTATTAAGATTACAGAAAATCTAGTTAAAATTCTTCCAGCTTTTAAGGAGCTGGAAGGAGCTTTGAGATGTAGAGCTTGACGCGAACTTTTTTGTAAACTCCCTCAGAGCTATCATCTGCATTAGTAAAGATATTTAGTTAAAGGTAGCACCCTACCCTGTTTAACAGAAATCTATTAGTTAATTTAAATGTTGTTATTAGCTGCAGCTTGACAATGCTGCAACCATGGATTTACAAAAT